TAGTATTATTATTAACATAGTTAATATGTATATATAAAAACCACACCCTATTATTTTCAGAAACAATGGTTTCTAATTTTTGTATCGCTTAAAATAATAATAATAATGATAACGATGTTAATAATAATAATAACAATAATTTCCTCAATGATTGGGTCAGAAATGAGGCTTCCTTTTTGGTGTGTGGCTGCATCTAGGCATAAAGAAGGTCACTATCAAAAACTTGGTGGCCTTGTCAAAATCCAAGATGGCTGCCACCGCATGCGTGTGTGTGTGTGTGTGTGTGTGTGTTTGTGTGTGTGTGTGTAAGCCAAACACCCCTATCATTTGATGAAACTATGCTTTGTGGGGTTTTTTATTGCTTAAAAGTATAATTTCCTCAAATGATTGAGGTGGCTGAAGTTTCATCTATGGGGGCCAAGGCCACCATTGGCCACCCCCTGCCTCCTCCATTGCACCTGGTGGTGGATAAAATGTCTCCCTCCATTCTCCAGGATTTGTCACTCTGTGCCGCCTTGGACAAACAAACAACTACAACTCCCTCTCTTCTTCTCCACAGTGTAGTTCCTCCCCACTTGAACATCTTGAACCAAAAACATTTAGGTTTACTTCATTCTCTGTTCAATTCCAGTCCAGAAAAACACTCATCTCCAAAACTACAAACATTCACTATTCAACCCCCAACACAATGGGGTAATTGACTCAATTAACGTAATGCAGTGAGATAGCAGATCTGTGAGATGAATGACATCATCACATCAGGATGATATTTTAGATGCGAGTCTTCTTGTGCGTATTTTATTGTATGCAAAATGTCTTTCCTTTTCAACAGGGTATCTGTCAGCAGAGCCATCAAGCCGTTTGCGGAGCCGGGCCGCCCACCGGACTGGTTTTCTCAGAAGGTATCCTGAATTTCCCATGTCTGCAGCAAATATTGTCTCTTCTTATCTCGTTCTGTCACGCAGCTGATCTTTCATTCTGCTTGGGATCCACAGCACTGTGCCTCCAAATACTCGGAGCTGCTGGAAACAACAGAGGCCCCAAAGTGAGCGCACAAACAGCGTTAACTTTGAGCATGCTTTTTTTTTAAGAGCTCAAAGAAGAAAGGCTAGATCTGGAACCTGAGAGAAGCACAAACTAACGTATTTATTCCCTGCAGGAGGAAGCGTGGTGAGAGGGGAGAGGTGGTGGAGACGGTGGAGGATGTGATCGTACGCAGACTGACTGCTGAGAGGATTGAAGAACTAAAGAAGTTGATTAAAGAAACTCAGGAAATGCACAGGTACATACAGGAAAAAAAAAAGAACAGTATTGCACTATTCAGTGAAACCACACCTGTAACACCATTAAATTTCTTTATAAGCCAGTCGAAGGAGGATGTTTCATGGTATAGTGTCCGTATGGAAACTTCCTCTTGTTCTGCCCATAACTTCTGATCCACTCAAGATAATTGATTGAAACTTCATACACATATGCAGCATCATATATACTTTTATCATCCCTGCTCCAAGGTCAAGGTCAAAAATCAAGGTCAAATGTAATAGAAGGTCTTTGCTTGTCTGGGTCAGATTGCTGCATAATACTTTGTCTACGGGCGTATCATGTGCCGTACTCTTGTTTTATTTTCACAGAAAGCTGAAGAGAGAGGCTGAACTGATTCAAACAGGACATCTAGATTGTAGACTGGAAGAGTTGTGGGAAGACATTCTACAGTACGAAGCAACACATCATATATAAAATGTGTTAATATCTCGTTATTTATATGTAAAAATAATGACGCATTGTGGGTTTTATGTGTCCGTCAGGAAGCAGAAATTGGAGGAGGAGGAAGTGGAGCTGAAAAGAAAAAACACAGATGCTGCTTATCAGGGTATTCTCTAAATTTATTTAGTTTGAAACACATCAAGGTATAATTAATTTATATTTAACTGGCTTTAAACCATTTTACTGATGTTAATCATGTTCAGTGTATTCCTGAGTTACCAGTCAGAACAAGTTACCCCAATAAATGACCAGTTTTATCAAAAGTAGCATTCCTTGAATGGATGTACATCACCTGCTGCCTTTCATGCCAATATTCCTACAAAAAGTGTGTGACATGTTAACACGTATGTGTTTTGGATGACTCTCAGCTACTACCACACCAGGTTTTAGCTCAGTATCTGTAAGATTTACTGAATTATAGTCATATATGTGTAAGCTCAATTAGCTGCAGTGAACATTTTGAACTGGTTGGACTCCAAAGGTTGATCAGTTTTAGCTGAATTATCACTTTCTGAGTTTCACTAAGATTCTTCCAGTGGTTTATGAGAAATTTTGCTAACACAAACAGTCACAGACATAGTTAGTTGCCTGCTCAACTGCCCTTCATGGCAGCCGGTAATATTAATCTGCTCTTCTCACATTTAAATGTACAGTAGTCCCTTGATTATCGCCGGAGTTACGTTCCACACACCACCGCGATAAGTGAAAAACAGCAAAGTAGAGAGCCTAACTTTCAGAGAGCCTGCACAAAACCACACATTGGTCCAAATCGACTCCAAATAATCCAGAGGAATCCAGATGAAAAAAGTCCGGGTGAGCTCCAGAGAAGACACCGGATCTCCAAGCAATGTCTCCCCACTTAAGACCATGTGCTGGCAAGCAGTACTCAGATTGACCGATGAGGGTAGACGTAGTCCTGGTCCAATTCCGGTTGGTTCCGTACGGCTCGCTGCAGTCACTGAGCGCCGAAGTCACTATGAATAAGGACCGAACTTTGTAGTCAGGTTCGGATCGGATCAAAACTTCCCTCCATTTCGGCAGAAAGCAGCAGCCGGAAGCACTGTTGGCTTCTGGGTATTGTAGTTGTTTTGACTGGCATTACAGTATAGGCTTATTGAAAGAAAACTACAAAATGACGGCACCTGTCCAAAGTAATTTTTTCGTTAGCTTTTTATTCCGTACCGTCCAAATTACGTGAGTAATATTAAAGTTGACAATCATTGAAAAATTGTGAAAGAGTGATTCTGCGAAAGTTGAACCGTGAAGTAGCGAGGGACTACTGGACTGGTTTGTTTTAATGTTGCTTGCAAGTCAAAAGGCAGATTTTATTTTAAAGAGCATTAAACATTTATTTTTTGCATATTTACTAAGAAAATCATCGCCCTGCTGCTCCTCCCTCTTTCAGCCAGACAGGCAGCGAGAAACACGCCGAAGCGGATTCCCAGCATCACGATGCAGTCACCCTCGGCTTGTAGCTCCCCGGGCCAGGAGTTCCCTCCAGGTGACCAGCTGGACTGCTTGGCTCTGGATCTTCCGTCCATAAAGAATGTAAGTGCTCCATGGGGTTTTCAGGCTTTTCAAGCTCTTCACTTTGACACTAAATTATATTTTCTGTGAACGCTGAGAGCTGAATGAATGTGCTAAAACTTGTGGATGAAGCTGAAACAGAGGTGGTAAAGCTAAAAGCAGTAAATGGGATCTAAAAGTGGCAAAAAACTAAAAGTAAAAAATAGCAAAAGTTTAGCTAAAAGCTAACTCAAAGTATCAAAACCAGTGCTTAATTTGAGCCAGATCCTGCCAGAACAGGATGCAGGAACTCTCTTATTTTGACGGGGTTTGTTCTGGTAACTGTTTGCTTGGATCCGGTAATTCTCAGGCTAACTAATTAATTAATTAAGTTATGAACAAATATGACTGCATTGAACAAATAAAACTTACAATGGATATGTAAACTGAAAACAATTACATAAACACTAGTTTTAAACACAACAGCCACTTACAACTTCTTAATATCACATACAATCTGCCTCTTCAAGTAAGCATTTCCGCTTCTACCCTTAAAAAAATCTCCGCCCCTAAAACAGTGGTGGGGGTGAGTGTTGAGCTAACCAGGCAGTTGTACGTGGGCAGGAGCCCACAGGCAGCTGCCAACAGACAGAGGAGGTACCTGAAGGTTTCATATGTGGAGTCGGACAGTGAATTCAGTGGAGAAGAGTCGGCTTAGAACTATCAAGTAAGATGTTTAACAACCTGTTAAAATACACCAAAATGCAGGAAATCGTATCTACTTTATTTAAATTTTTTGGGGGGAGGATCCCCAGACCCCTCCCCCCCAACACACAGCTGGCCTGCCCGCTATTCATGGTCCAGCATCGATTGGTTTACAAATTAAGCCCTGATCAAAACGCTAGCTAAACTGTAGAAGTAGTAAAAGGCTAGCCAAACAGTATGAAAGTTTGGCTAGAAGCTTAATGTAGCAAAAGGCTAGTTTAAAGCTGAAAGTGTCAAAAGTCAAGCTAAAAGCCAAATGTAACAAAATGGTATGGTATGGTATAAAGTTTATTAATTTTAAAACAGTACAAAACAATTCCATAACAATATAAAAAAAGATACAAAAGATTTAAAATGAAAGGCAACAGAAAGAAGAAAAAATCTTATTATATCTGCCCCTTTTTTCAAACAATTATTTCAGTCATAATAATTTTCAAGTAACAGAACAAAATGAATAACTCTTTCTAATTTTTCTAATTCTAATACAAAACACACTAAACTACTTCATATATACTTTTTTAATAATTCAGCTTTGATTTTTTTCTTAAATGTACACATTGACTTGGCATTTTTCACATCACTCTCTAGACCATTCCACAATCCAATTCCTTGGATTGAGGTAGACCTTCCCTTCAGACTAGTTCTGAATTTTTGTTTGACAAATATCTCTATCCCCTTAAGATTGTAACAACTTTGTCTTTTAACAAAATTTCTTTGGATATTTAATGGTAATGTGTTATTTTAAGCCATATACATTACTGATAAAATACTATAATCTACCAAATCATGGAACTTCAATAACTTCAGTTGATAAAATAATGTGCTTGATGGGTGACTGTAATGCTTTCTGGTGATAATTCTTATAGCTCTTTTCTGTAAAACAAAAATATGCTTTGTAAATGTTTTACACGCTTTCCCCCAAACATCAATGCAATAGATTAAATGTGGAACAATGATTGTGTTATACAACATGTACAGAGCTTTATCATTTAATAATTCCCTTACTTTGTATAGTACTGCAATAGATTTAGCTATTTTTATTCTTACAGAATTTATGTGATTTTTCCACTTTAGCTGTTCATCAATGATTACACCCAAAAATTTCATCTCATTAACTCTACAAATCTCAACACCCTCAATTTTAAATGGATCATCAACAGTTCTCTTTTTGTTACTAAATATCATGTATTTAGTTTTATCCAAATTTAATGATAATTTATTAATTTTAAACCAAGTTTTTTTTTTTTTTATATCAAATTCTGTCTTCATCAATTCCAACATCCGTTTTACATCTTTACCCAAACAAAAAAATGTGGTGTCATCTGCAAAAAGGACACATTTGAGGAGTCCTGATACATTCATTAAGTCATTCACATATAAAATAAATAACTTTGGTCCAAGTACAGAGCCTTGAGGAACTCCACAAGTGATATTGCACAGGTCAGATCTTACACCATTTATTTGTACAAACTGTTTCCTATCTTTCAAATAGCTAGAAACCCAGTGTAATGCTGGTCCTCTTATACCATATTTATTTAATTTTTCAAGGAGAATAGTGTAGTCAATAGTATCAAATGCTTTTTTTAAATCAACAATAATACCAACACAATACTGTTTTTGATCGACAGCAGTAGTTATTTGTTCTATTATTTCCATGAGAGCCATTGATGTAGAATTTTTTGCTCTAAACCCATACTGACTGCTGTTTAGAATGTTTTGTTTAGTAATAAATTTATCTAATCTGGTCACAAATAGTTTTTCTAGAATTTTTGAGAACTGTGGTAATAAGGATATTGGTCTATAATTATTGAACACACGTTCATCACCATTTTTAAAGAGAGGAACTACCTTAGCTACTTTCATATTGTCTGGAAATATTCCTTTTGAAAATGATAAATTACAAATATATGTAAACGGCTCGATAACATAACTCATTATGTCCTTTACAAACATCATATCCATGTCCACCCAGTCTTTTGATCTCTTATCTGTAAGATTTTTTTACTACATTCATTATTTCTTCTTTGTCAGTTCCATTAAGAAAAATACTGTTGTCACAACTTATAACTGAATGGTTCACATTATTGTAAATGGTAGCTAAAAATATAAAAGTAGCACAAAAAGACAAAATGTTTTAAAATGAATTGAACAAATCTTAATTTTTTGTTCTGGGGAAAAATATTTATAAACAGCATAAAACATATTGAAGAGTATACAAGTTATAAAATAAAAAAAAGTCATATGCTCAACAATCCATGAAAAAAATCT